TGCAATTGGCCGGCCAGTTTTGAACTATGCCGCGCCTGTTTGGGCGCCGTGGACTAGTTGGACGCAATGGACGAAGCTAAAGACTTTTCAGAACGCCGCTCTCCTGAGCACCACCTGAATAGCGAGGCCCAAACGCTTCCCGTAAGGGAGCATAACAAAATGCCCAGCAAGCAGTTTCTGGTGGAGGAGCATCCGCCAAGGGACATCAGAGGACATCTATTCGAATACACACACGCGGTCCAGACATACATTGACCAACCACAGGACCCGCCGACTTACCGACAAGTGATCAATGGAATTCACAGGGAGGTACTCACCACAATCACCAACAATCGCAGACGCGGGGCTTCAATTGCTAAGAAAGACCCGTGTTTCCTGGCCCACTTATGGTCTGGATATTGCAACCGTCTCAACAGCTACCTGTACAGACCCGACTCCAATATCCCCAATGAGTGTCGGCTTGTGGAGACCCCCGCACGAGACCAACCACCTCTTCAGATGCCAGCTTAATCCCACTCAACCCTTTCAAGCTCTCAGCCTTCTATTCGTCTAATAATACCATGATCGGACTGCCATCGAAAACACGTTTTCGTTGCTGAAACTGGTTTTCGACCTAAAACTTGTGTTTTCGTCCATGATAAATCTATCAAACGAAAACTAGTTTTCGCTGAAAACTACTTGAAAACTCACGTTCCACTCCTTCCAACTGGTGTCTTCACTAGTTTTTTAGATATATTAAGTGGAAATCATATTTTGTCATGTCTAATATGCTAGTTGGGGTTTAAGCCCAAAATACAATAACGCAGTGGCAGTGACAGTTTTTCGAAATCATCTGTTTTTTAGAAAGTGGGGTGTCCAATGAAGCGACTCACAATACAGCAGTGGCAGCTGGCAGTACTGCTCAGTTTAGCTCAAATTCTAAATTCACTGCCACTGCCTTCATCATCACAGCAAACTTCGCATGCTGAATTTGACATAAATAAAATGCAGCCAACTTCTGTTCATGTCACTGAAGCCTAAAAGACAACAACAAAAATGTAAACAAACAAAAGGGAATGTCAAACAAAGCTGTCACTGACAACGCCGTATTGTATTTGCTGCGGCAGCGACTGCCAATATTAGCAGTAACAGCTGATTTTAAAAGCTGTCACTGCCACTGCCACTGCGCCATTGTATTTTAGCCTTTATTGCTAATTGGCTAGTCAAATTAAAATATAAATAAAAGATAAAGGTTGCTAATAATAAGAAAATGAAAGAAAAAGATTTTGGTTTTCGTGTTTTCGTAGCAAAACTGTAAAAAAAGGATGAAAGAAATATCAACGAAAACAATAACAGCCGGTGCGAACAGCGTACAGCCCACAATCCCAAAACTCGTTTTCAAAGTTTTTTGCGCGCCGTTTTTGATGCTACAGACGTTACTGCTTCGAAAACCCAAGTACGCACATATCTGTGCGATTTTATCGCAGCAAAACCTGTCAATGTATAGACAAACAAAAAGTATTTTTCAACAAAAATAAAATGCTTACCTTTTCTACATGTTTTGTTTTCTTACGTTCAATTTTGTTTTATTATTGTAAAATCTTTCTATTAACCTTTTTCGTTCTCAAAACGCGGCAGTCTGCGATTTCGGCACGACCAAAAGAAGAACTGTGAATGTTCGAATAAATCGCTGCAGCAAAATCGTACAAGTGTGTGGTTCCTCATTTAAAACTATAATCGGCATTGTTGTAAATTTTGTAGGAACAGATTCGCACCGACAGAATAGCGTAGGTGTGTGGATACCTTAGGCCCTGTCTCCACAGGAAAACACTGATGTCGTGAAAACTATGTCACAAAATATATTTCCAATGGAGACCGCCTATTTCTCATGTGCTGCAATATATGTCAGCGCTTATTGCTTGACATCTATTGCAGGCAATTCGATAGTTTGACAGCCATATTTTCATTTGAAAGAAAGCGTGCTGGTGGTAACATCGATGAAATTTTTATATTAAATCAAAATAAAAGTCTGTTCCTTATTGGATTATTTATGATTACGTTTTAGGAAATTATTCAGCAAGTTTTTTAAAGATTTAAATGTTTTTAAACACCGAAATTGAGAGAATGTTGTCTGGTGGCGTCATGCGGCAAATGCTTATTTCAAGACATCAAAGTGCCCACACACAAAAACTTGCAATCACATTGCTCGTCAAAATGACAGTTGGTAGGCCATCGCTGTTCGCCTGTGGAGTTCTGCGGTTAAAAGTGAAAGTACATAACGTACATTGCGGCGCCGTCACCGTCACTGGCAGTTGTCAAAAAAGTTGAAACGATTTATTTGTATGAAGTAAGTTACATGTACAAAGCTGATGGAGTCAGTGACGCACAAACTAGCTCAACTTTCAACTTTGCTTATGCATTTGCGTCAAGTGACAACTATTCTGTGTTTTGTTTACATGTTTGAACGTAAAATTTTCCAGTTTGTGAAAAGCTTTAGATTTATAGAAAAACGAAATTTGAAAATTGATGGAGGAATACCTAATAGAAGAAGTGCTAAAGTAAAACGCAAATTTTGCAAAGCAGCGAGTTTATGATTTTTCGGACGCAGCTTCAAACCGATAGTGTGTAACTTGGCGCATAAGCATCGTTGACGGTGCTGGTGACGGTGACGGCGACGCAATGGATGGTATGTACTTTCACTTTAAGACTTTTAGCTAAATAAGGCGCGGAACGCCGGAAAAGCACCTGTAAAACATGGAGTACCACTTCGCAATTTAAGCTGGAACTCCGTAGGCAAGCGTGTGTGTGCGTTTGACAGCCGAGTTCTATACACATGTTCTTATGGGATGAGCTCCATAAGTACGCGTAAACGCACAGAGCGGAAAAAAATCGAGCATGAATTCGAATAGGTATGAATAGGTTGAATTTTCTCAACTTTCATGCACTTGCTCGCGTAGATAACCAACTTCAAGGTAATTACACTACACGTTTGGGTATATATAATATACATGTTTTGGTCGAAAATTTGGCGGTTTTGTAAGCATTTTCTTTATAAATATACAAAAGTGTGTATGTAAGATGCATCAACTTGTCGAAATGGCAACTGTCAAACGCTTGTAAGGGCACACTATGGAGTTGCTCGGTTTTTACCCATGTAAGCGCATGACAACGGATCTCGCATACGTACGCATACGCTTGTCTATGGAGTTTTAGCTTAAAGCAGAACAAAGAACTTAAAGTTTGAGAAGTGGTGGATATTTTCTTAGAAAGGTTCTTGTAGAGTTTTACCCTTATAGCTAGAGCAATTTATTAGATTTTTGAGTATATTGTTGAAATTTATTAAATGCATTTATTGTTCAATCAATTTTTTTAGTTTCAAGATTAAAACTAATACCAGCAGGTATATTTTGCACTGATATCAAATATTTTTTAACTGGTCACTTAAGGCCCCTTTCTTATACCCGAAAATATGCAATTCCAGAATTCCATAAAAAAGTCCATAAATTTTTGTATATAAATATATTCGGAATTTGCAGAATAGACCTGCAAGTGACAATGGCCCGTAGTCAGTAGTTAGTTGCAACTAACTTTAAAGTCGACTTTATTTTGACTATGACTACGGGCCAATATGTATTGCTGCGATTTGTTATTAATCGCACGTGGGAGTTAGAATTATTCGTGAATCGCATAGTGTAGCCTCACACTAAATAAAATTTCCACCAGCTAGCAAAAAAAATGCAACCTTGGCTGTTCGCCACTTTCACTTACTCGCTTGTTAGTTGTCTCGTTACTTTCGTTAGCTGTCAACTTCAAAGCAAATTCCTTCTTTTATAAAGTCGCAAGTGGTAAGCAATATTTGCACGCACGCTGTTTTGCAAAAACTTTCATTGAGTTTACAAAATTTCGAATTTCGCTAACTTTTTTGTATAGTTGACGGCGGCAGCAACTGCTTCTGTGTTTGCGAGTGCACCATAACGACACCATGGCCGACTTAGATGATTTCTTCGCCAAGAAAGACAAGAAGAAGTCCAAGGCCAAGCCAAAATTCTTAACTGCAGAGGAACTGGTTAAGAACTTAGAACGTGAGGCGGCAGCTGCTGCGGCTATAGCCAAAGCAAAAAAGTTGGAAGCAGCCAACGCTGCACCGACTGTTGCACCAGGTGCTCCTGAGGAACCAATCGTTGTTAAGCAGGTGGTGGAACAGGTTAGTGATGAGGCAATTTATTTATAATCAGTTTGTACTCTTAATTCCTTGTTGTTTTTGTGAATCTTTTTGTGTATTATAGCCGCAAGCTGAAGAAGAATGGGATGATTTTGAGCAAGAGCAACGTAAAGATTATACAGGTCTGAAAATTGGACAACTTACGGTAAACGACGATGATGACGAGAGTGCTGGCGAAGGTGAAGAAGACGAAGTGGATAGTGATGGTAACGTGACTGTCGAAAATAATACCTCGAAGCGCAGTGGCGGTGGACCATGGAAAAAGGTTATTCCTGCTGAGGAAGTAACACAAATTCCGATGGAAATAGAAAAACCGAAGTCAACTGTATATATTTCACCTGCCCTACGAGCAGCGGTAAGTACTCCATATAACCATTTCATTGTTTGCAAATATTTGCCACGTCAGTTGTAAAAATAAACTTTGCAAATTCTAAACTAATTTTTTTGTTTATACCTTTTTAGCAAGCGGGAGCAGCGCCTGGGCCGCGCTTGAAGACGCGCAATCGAGCAGCTCCTGACATTACTAACGCAGAGTACTTCCCTTCATTAAGCGCCGCACGGCCGGAAGAGCAAAGAAAAAAGAAAAATGAGCCAGCATTTGAGGAAGTTCGACACGGTGGCCGGTTGCAGCGCATCCACGAGCCAGTTTCGGCGCCCGTTTCGGCAGCAAATCGTTTCCAGTCGCTGGACGAGGAAGACAGCTAGAAAGCAGAGGGTCGCCGACGAAACAGTCACTTCTATTTGGATTCGTTTTTTTTGCCAATTGTTTTCTAGAAGAGGATGTAGAAGCCTGTCTGTATTGAATGTATTGTACGCTTTGTATCTACAACATTTTTTTTTCTTCCTTTTTTGTAATCTCCATCAGAGCATTTTATTTTAGCGATTTTTATACTTTATTAATTGGAGTGCGGGATTGTGGTATCTGACGCGGCCACCACTCTTCATAAATGTCCGGGAACTGCCGCTTCACAATAGAAATTATATTTAATTAATGGTAGGGACAGATTAGCTTCAAACTACTTTCCGCAAAAACTATTTATTAAGTGGGAAATCAACAGAAAATAAAAGATATAATGAAGTAAACTGCTATAAAACGAATGTGTATTATGTATTTATAACAATGGTTTATTGCACAAATATACTTATTTGGCTTATTTTGGTTATGCTCTAACTACCGTCTTTAGAATTGGACGTTCCTTTAACAATATTTAACTCGTTCTCTACATACATATCGTTCTTGGAGCTGTCCAAATAACTGCAAAAGCAAAACATGTATACGCCATAGTTATCAATGATGAAGGTAATTAATAGTAGTGATACACATATCATTCCTTTGCTGCAACAGGATCATAATCTAAAAATATATATATTTCTGAGACAAGTATGCAGAAATAACCGCCACTACTCTTCTTCTTTGTTGTGTAAAAGTCGGATAGCAATTGCTTTTTCTTAAAACTTCAAATTTTTACTCGATCTCTTTAAATAAATTTAAGTTGTCTGAAATTTTAATAAGAAGCAAATGCTTAGTTTTTATTAATACGGTCCAATAGCTCATTAGAAGGGAATCTGTCTTCATTTTTACCACGGGAGCCCATGCAAACTTAAAGCAGCTTTTCTCTAGGGTTCGATATTTTGGAATATGTATAACACTCTTGCATCAAAGGTCCGATATGCATAACTTTCAAAGTGTCGGTATTAATTTGGGTGGATAGATTTTGATGCAAATTTAACGAATTGCTGGCGGATGTATGTATATATTTACAAATGAATTTACTACATGCATACAGCATGTTTTAAGTGCATACTCAGTAGGCCATATCTTCTTTAGCCTTCACATCAGGCAATCTCTCTGACCTTTCACAATATGGTTGTGTTTCCGCATTATGATACGATTCAAGATGGCGCTTTAAGAGTAGCTGTTCCGGAAATTCCTTAATCAAATATAACCAACAGTCAATAGATCTGCAAAGCGGAAAAGCTAGAATAATAAAATGTATTACATATTATTTAATTATCCAGCATGCTTACACATTATCCTTAGATTTTACTTGTTGTATTTCACGATCGTAATAGTTAGGGTAATCCTCTAGCACATCGAGATTCGCAAACATAGTATCGTCCACCTCATATACTTCACCGCAAATGTTATGACCCGCTCCAGGTTTGTTTAGCAAAAATGGAATGTTGTAACGTGTGCCTATCACCAGTGGAAACTTTTGCACAGTTCGCGCCTCGCATACGAAACGCGAGTGTCCGTTTTCGGGACGTGTGAGCCAGTGGTGATTGGGCTCACCACGTTTCAATGTGCCATAGACAAACACTTTCATGAGATTTTCAGACAGTTTGGCAGTCATTTCGTAACTACTGATGGTACTTTAAACCTCATTAAATAAATAGCGCAGATGAGTCGAAAGCTTTGCGATTGTTGATAATAGATTTTAGGGTAATTAACATTTTCTAGCGTACCCGGAGTCAACAAAAGATATGCTCAAAAAATATTGACATCCAAGAGATGGTTCAGCATCGCTTTAATAAGTGTGCATTTATTTTAAAGAAAATAAATCCATCTTAAATTTTTTAGTTAATTTTACTACACCTGAGTTTTGGTTTGGAGAAATTTATAGGTCCGGCAGTTCCATTTATAATTAACATGTGGTATCCATGATATTAACCCTAACGTGTACCATCAGCGATTTTGCACGCTTAACCCATCGAATAGTGGCACTAACAATATTTAGCAAACAAATTTAAATTTACAATTGTAAAATGTTTAAAGTTTTTTATATGCATTCATACATACATATCGTCGTTTCAAGTACAAAACCGCGTAACGTCATTCTGCAAAACCGCGTAACTGACATTTATGTTAAAAATTGGATTTGCTCACACAAGTTCTTGGCTCAATCCATTTCCATTTGTCCTGAAATATACTAGCCAGAATGCGATTGCTTTATAACAAAGAGAACCATTTTGAAATACGAGTATTTTTTCTCTATAGAAAATAGTTTATGCAAACCTCACATATGCGGTTTTGCATTATCTTGATACGCGGTTTTGTACTTTAAACGACGGTATGTGTGTGCATTGAAATAATTATTGATATAAACTGGGAAAGGGAACACTAGTTTCCATGGCTTACTGCTCGGAGAAGAAATTTAAAATGGCCAACTCTCTTCAATAGTACAGAACGGGCCAAAAACTCCATAAGTCATTGGGACATGTAAATATCTTTGCTCTCCGAATTAGGCTATAAGGGGCCTTCAGAGACCATTGACTCTTATCTTCTAAGGCTAAATTCGTTCTAGTCTTGGAATCCATTAAGAAACCCAGCATCCTTGCAGAACACAATGACATCCAACTGCAGAGCAGTGGCAAACTCAACTCCCGCAGTCACTGAGCCATTCCTTGTAGTAGGCCCAAAGACGATCCGGAGCACCTCCTCGGGAGCATAATCTGAAGAGTTTTGCTTATAATCGCACTCCCGAGACTGAGACTCAGAAATAGTACACACACTCCAACAGGACACTTTAGATTCAGAAACTATTTGCCGGACCTCTCTCGTTTCTGCGACTCAGCCAAAGTTACACCTGTGTACCTATCCTTTGAGTGTAGGACCGCTTCAAGAAGACGGGAGGCTCACTGTGTCCAAAATATTACCACAAAAACTCCCTTCCCCACACAATCGATAATTTAGGTCGAGTGTAAACCTCATTTTATTATGCAAATACTTATCTATCCAGAATGGATGAGCCCAACATACCTACGTCAGCTTTTATAGAAAAATAGCACGACAATACTCTCTTAGGTCCGAACCCGTCAAAAGAGCGCGTTTCTTGGGCCTACCGTTAATTGAGACATTTATCCATGGCTTAATCAATCCACGCATGGCCAAGGTAGCATCTACAACAGCCACATTCTAAGTACAGAAATATTAAATAGGTGGTCGCATGTGGTTGTGTCCTGGTTAATTAACAATTCTATTTCGAAACTTATCCAAACCAACCGCGAGACAATGACGTCTGCCATTTATAATCTTTGTTGGAAGTTGGGAAGTTAGATCTTCATACCACAGCATTCGTCTCCACGAAATCAAAGTTCATCCATGACTCATAAGAGTCGTCTAATTTTTATCCAATTTTGTCTAGTATTATTATAAGTTATAACTGTCCCGACAAACCTATGGCCTACTCTGAAGGAACCCCGCATGAAACTTGTAATGAATTTTAGCTTTCAAAGTATAAGAGTTCCCTTGTCAAGATGTTATTTACCAATGTCTGCTGCAGTAGAGCGTGGGATCCATAACTGGAACCTCAAAGAATATATATCTCGCTGACATACCATTGTCATTATCCTCATATCTGAAGCGGCGGAAAGATTAGATCTTCTCCCAACGATCTAGTAAAGGACAATCGGACTTGGCTCCCAATGTAAAGCTAGTACTTTGTTAAAGTCAACAAGCAACTCAACCAGGAATGAATGGAATGAAATTGTGTGGCCGGAGAAACCATAAACAAATTTTTCCCAGCACTCATGCAGTATTTCCCTTTATACTTAAGGCCAAGAGACAGGATTTAGAGGATAGGGGTATATAGATGGGGGTGGGAACTCATTGCTGCTCTGCAAACTTACCATACTCCTTTATGAATTTAAGCATTTTGTTGAGGAAAAAAATGCACCTCGTCCATTCTCAGTACATCCGACCCAAAAATGTGTCGGCTGAGTCTAGCGAAGGCCGGACAGCGACAGAGAAAATGTTCTCTACTATCCTCGTTCTCCAAACCCGATGTACATAATGGATCATAGATGATGCCTATGGTGACCACATGTAGTCCCCATGGATTGTGCCCCGTAATCAGTCCTATCAGGGCTCGCAGATCTCTCCTTCTTTGTCTGAGAAGGAATTATGCTACCACCCTGTCAGACCTTTTCAGGAAACACTTGGTTATTTTGCTGGTGTCAATAGTGCACTAAAGGCTCTCATGAGTTTTGTTTATGAGACCCTTGATTCACCCGATCGTTCACGCTATGCTTGGCCCTAAAATTGGCTCCGGTCCAATTGGACGCTCCATAGAACCGCAGTTCGCCAACTCATCAGCCAGTTCGTTACCTTTAATACCGCATTGTCCTGGCACCCACACAAATTCCAGCTCATTCCACCTTGTAACGGAGTTCAGCCCCAACTTACATTTCTGGACTATATTTGAAGAGGTGCGAGCGTTTTCGAAGGCCTTAGCGGCCACTTTAGGTCCTGATATTATGTCGCGCCACCTTTCGCCAATTATCTAGCCTACGACTTTCTGTATTACAAAGAATTCCGATTGAAAGACCGTGGCTGATTCGCCGAAAGCAATAAGGCATCTGAAGTTACAGTTCAGATACCATCCAGCTCCAGTACCGTTTTCAGTCTTTGAGCCGGATCTGGATCTTTCCATTGTTCCCTTGTAGAAAATCTAACGACGTAATTTCTACCAAAGGAGACTTCAGGTATCAGTTTGTCAGTAGGTGCAAAAAACAAATGATATTGTTCTGGCAACCTTCCAAACAACTCTCTGTGCCCAGAACTCCGATCGTCGTGCCACAGACCTAATAGGTGCAGTCGACATATCGTTTTCATTACCTTCTCTTGGATAACTTAATCCAGAGGCGGCAAACTCAACAAATCATTAAGAGCAGGTCCTGGCGTTGTACTCATGGCGCCCGTAATGACTATACACACGCTCTTTTGTAGCCTATTTTACACAGAAACCGTGGCTTTGACCATTGTTCTGCGCCACCATACGATTGACCTGACTAGAGACATGAATATTCATCATATCATAGGCGGTATCAGAACCTAGGTCTTCCTACAGGTTCTTCAACACTGTCAGAAAACTTTCAGCGCTCGATTTATCTTCAGCTCTACGTGAATTTTTTATGTCAGCTTCGTATCTAGAGTTACCCCTAGCTATTTCACATCTACGTAAAAACTTAGGATTACGAACCTAAGCACTGGAAGGTTGGGACCTTCCGATTTTGTTTTGCGCGTAAACACGACTAGGGTTTTATTACCGGGATTTACAGCAGCTAATCTCCCACGGTCAGCAATCTTATATAGTCAAAAGTAGCGCCTCCCAATATCAGCGAAGACTACAATTGTGTACTCCCTTACTTCCAGCCTACCTCGATCTTTGTTACAAGGTCATGTAGAGCTGATTCACAGGACTCTCCGCTTTGGTATGCATCATGTTGAATACTAAGGGGGCTATTCACCAAAACCCTTGACCGAATGTACTTCTCGACCATGCGTTTCAGCATGCGTTTCAGCATGGTTTCAGGCTGATTGGCCTGAAGCTTTTTGCCAGCGCATAGTCATCTTTCCTGGTTTGGGAATGAAGGTTACCCTGACTTTTCTCCAAAGAGTGGGAACGTGGCCAAATGCCAGATATGCCCTAAACACTCTTATACCTATAAGCCGGTCTCCTCCACATTTTAGCATTTTTGGAAACATACTATCTCACTGACTTGTCAGTCACCACCCACGATGTTACGTACCAGTTTAGTGTGGTTGCTCTTCACGTCTCAGCCTGCGTCAGGATTCATCCTGCTACCCGGAAAATGAGTTACCAAGGGAGCTTTGTATGTGTCTTGCAGCGACATGGTATAACCGTCAGGTCCTCTTGAAGTACCCTACTCAGCCTAGCAGACTCTTTCATGCTGTGATATCGTTTCAAAAATCTTTATAAGAGCTTAATTTTGACGTGCAAATTAGCCTCTTATATTCCATCTACACGTTATCATATTCGGACCAGTGCTCCTCTTTTCGGGTTCTTAAATCCCTTTAAGAAGTCTCCTGGACCTTTTTAGAAATTTGGTAAGTTCAGCGTTTCACCATGGGACCACTTTTCCCCGCCTGCTTCTTCTAAGCGGAAAAGTGGCACGATGTGACTGCAATTGAGAGAGTGAAAATATATTTCGGAAATATATTTCAACTTGCTCGTGCTGCGCTAGAAATCTGCAATTCGCCTTTCAAATATAAAAAAATGCCTCTCGAAAGATGTTTTACATGCAAGGTGTGACTGCTCATGCAATTGCTTTCTGAAATTTCTCACTTTGAGATTCCTCTTCTAAGGACATACATCCTTTGATATGACTCGCCACATCTTCATTGGTTAAGGTTAGATCTATCACTTCTCATTTTTTGCTGGTGACAAAAATTGGTTTCTTACCAATTCAGAGGACAGAATGCAGTTCCCACGGAAGTTGCACTTTGTGCTACCCCATATAGCGTTTTGTGAGTTCGCGTCACAACCCACTATTATGCCGATACCATTTGACTCGGCGTACTGAACAATGCCCATAATCTCTCTCTAAGGAGGTCCCCTATAGAACTGTATGGCGAAGATTGCGATGTCCTTGTGGCATTGCCCGTCCGTACAGTACCCAATTCGTATCGCAACGACATCTTGTGAGCAGAACTCTCTAAACATTGTACATTCGACCGAACGCGGCACTATAATGCTTGCGCGCGCTCTTTCTGTCCCTCCCAATTGAAGAGCGTTACTCCAGGAAATCGACCTCCCCCCCCCCTCCCCCCCCCC